TTTAAGTGAGTTGCTAAAAAGTTGCCATCACACCTGTGTCTGAGGCACTCACCCATTTTCATTAGACAGGAGACTTAACAACAGCAGAACTTTCTTACAGAGTGTCTTTGACCTCTTTGAATCTCAGTTTTCTTGTTTTGTACCATGGGCTTAAAATCAAGCAACCCTCTAAACCAGTACTACTCATGAGAACTTCCTGCAATGATGCAAATGTTCTTTATCTGCACTGTCTGGTGCTGGAGCCACTAAGCACATGTGTCTATTACATACTCACAATGTGGGTAGTACAGCTGAGGAATGAGATTTTTAATTGTACTTCATTTTAATTAATTTTAATTGGAATAACCATATACGGCTAGTGGCTACCATATTGAACAAAGCAGCTCTGGACCAATTAATTCAAATTTTCTACCTCTTCTTAAACCTCCTATCTCATGGGGAAATATTTATGGTGTTTTCTCCCATAAAATTACATAATTATGTGTAATTATTAATCATGCTTTGAGACATTAATCTAGAAAGTCTTATAAAAACAGTTCCACAATTCTGAGGTATTCACTTGGCTCTAAAAATTGCTTTTCATAAAGATAGAAAGCAAAGTCTGATGCACACATGTATTTTCTGCATTAGGTATATATGCTTAGGCAGGATACAGAACAGCGCAAACACACACATCTTGGAAATAGCCCTTTGTCCTGTATACATAGCCCCACAATCTACAGACTGAGCCAATGTAAAGGCTGCATCTCTTCCTGAACAACAGATCATTGACTTACCAAATCCTTTAATCTCACCATTAAAGATATATGAGTATACACACACACACACGTACACACATACACACACATATACACATCAGGAGAGTACTTCAAAAAGTTCATGGAAAAATAGAATTAAAAGATAATACTTATCTTTCCATGAACTTTTTAAAGACCTGTCATATATCCCCCAGGGAATATTTGTCTGGGAGTACTGAAAGAGAAGTTTCCACTTATCCTTGCCTAAAAAGAGAACTGCATTTGCCAAAGTGGAGATATCAAGAGTTTGGAGAAAGAAAATCCAAGAAAAAGATATTAATTGAAGTCCATATTTTTCAGTGCAAAATCTCCCTTTTCTGGGCTCTTGCTGTTGCCAGAGACTGTGCCATTCCTTTACACCCATTATCTCATGCACTTTTCACAACAATCCTATGAGGACACTCTTAGCCCATTACTGATGACGGGACTCTGGTTTGCAGTAGTGGATAATACTTTGCCCAAGGAAGAAGTGGTCAGTGATTCAAACCCAAGAGAGTTTGTCTGCAAAATCTATGCTCTTCAACACCATTCTACTCACTTTGGAACTAGCTACATTCTCAAAGAAGCCCTTTCTATTGGGTGACAATGCCAACTAGAAAAATCTTTCACCTGTTGTGCTAAAATTAGCCACCTTGTAACCAAACTTTCTCCCACCCAACCCGCAACGCAACACACATTGGCACTTGTTCTGTCCTTTGGGGTGGCCACAAGAGACAAGCCAGCTCCTGCTTTCTCCAGATTTATACATGGTAACCTTGCCCCCTTCATTTTTGGTTTTCTCAACTATGAGATAAATATGCACAAGTCTGCAGTCCTTCCTCCTACAAGATATTTTCCAGACCTTTCATTACTGATCACTTCCTATAAAGATAAGAATCTGCTTGTGTCTCTAGAGTAAGTTGCTCATTCTGAAATTATAAAAGCCCTACTATCAGAACATGACTTCTCATGTCTCACCTAAATATCTCAAACTGTAATCTAAAGTAATTTTCCCTAGGCTATCCTCAAAAGAGACATAAACCAGCCAGTTGTCTGCGTTGTCTGCGTGAGAATATTTTACATTCTTAAAGGTCATTATTTGCTCTCTATCTTTTCCCTCTCTGGTGGAAATATTTCCAGTTCTAGTAACTTCATCTTAATAATGTTTACCTCCTTACCCATCCATGATTTCTGCAGATCTTCTTTGATCTAGATCCAAGTTGCTGTGAATTTAGGACTGGATTTAACTAAGAGGTCAAGCTCAGCCTCAAGCAAAAGGAGGCTATTGTCATGGCCTCTTGCTTTGTTTTGTTCCCAGGGGTGCAACAAAATAGCAGCTTCTGTTTAAAGAGTGCCTCCTATGGGCCTAACACCAGGCCAGGTGCTTTATGTACAAATCTCTAATCTTTTGACTCCTATTTAATAAATGAGCCACGGTTTAGTGAAGATAAGTAGCTTGCCAAAGTTACAGGGCTAGTAAGTGATATTTAAACCCAGGTGTGTCTAATTCCAAAGCCCAAGCATTTCCACAACACTGAAGATATAATGGGTCTTTCCAAAAGTACAAAAACATCCACCTGCTCTCAGACCACCATGAGCCAATGGGAAATGCATAACACTTAAGAATAACATGTCCTTTTCCCAAACAGTGAAACATTTGGCTACGCAGTGCAGGTCTCTTAAATACACAGTGGAAAATCCTCACCCTCCTCACGCTCCAGTCGTTACTACTCTAAACTCATTGCCTTAGAGTCTCGACCAGCAGCTCATTTAATGGCTTTTTCAATGGAAATTTAAGTCATTTAGCAACACACACAAAAGTAATGGATAAAAGTCCAAAAACCTTTCAAGCTTGGCCCATGGCCCTTCCTCCAAAAAGAAAGAAGAAGAAAAAAGACCTAAGAATTGATGGGAAAGGGGTAGGAAAGAAAGACTTTGTGAAGGCAAAGGGAGTTAAAGAAGTCACTCCAATAGAGCATGCTATCAATAAATATTTGTCTAGTAAACAAATAAGACAGGCCAAAGACCTAAGAATTGATGGGAAAGGGGTAGGAAAGAAAGACTTTGTGAAGGCAAAGGGAGTTAGTTAAAGAAGTCATTCCAATAGAGCATGCTATCAATAAATATTTGTCTAGTAAACAAATAAGACAGGCCAAATTTGCTTGACAGAAGAGAACATGCCAAGCTCTTCATAATAATCTTCGTTCAGTGGTCTTAAATCATAGACCCACAAATTGTTATTTAGGAAACTAATTTGAATGAGAAAGCATGCTCTAAAGAGATTTTTGGTTTTGGCCTAACCAGGGAGTAGACGCCCTAAGTAGATATTGAATGGATAGTTGCTAATATATCAATATGAATATAATACGTGGTAAGGGTGTGGATAGGACAGTCTTGGTTAAATGCACAACCAGTGCTTTCTAGGTCTCCAGACCTCTGCTCAGTCCTATAGAAATGTTTCTCAGTTCAGTGTGCTCTGCCACAATCCCTCTTCAAGTTTTGGAGACTTTCTGTCATAAAAAAAGGTTATCGGTTGGATCATATTGAAGCATTCTATCCTTGGGATAAGATCTTTCTGGAAAAAAAATTAGAAAACTTCTTATCAAAATACCACCACTAATTGACATGAATAACTAACTTAGAATTTGCAACTTTAAGAACAGCATTAGTATAGGGAAATGTCAATTTGTGAAATGACTTATCAAAAACCAAATAATTCTTGGCAATTATTTTCTCGAACTGCATTCAAGTATATTTTCAAGTTAAAGAGGACCATGAATGACTTCATACCATATAGAGATCATTCTCACCTTCATCTAAGGCATTATTTGAGTCAATATTATAACGACCCAAAGTTTAGCCATGTCTGTCTTCCCTCAATAATTGTTCAACTGCCTGCGACAGCTCCCACCTGATTGCCCATACAGGCGAATGAAATGACTTAGTGAGTGAGAGCTGCTTCACGGTAGCATATTCTTCTCCGTACGTACTCTGTTTCCATCTAATCCTTCTCTCTATCTAAGGCTCAGCTTAAATTCTCTCCTTTCCAATAAATCATGCCCTACCACTCTTTTGACAATTCCTTTTGTTTTCAGACTCTGTAAGCAGTTATAATCTTATTCCACAAAATAAGTTCTTTGTATTCTTTCCTGATTTGTGCTCTAAGTATAGAATGGATGACTACACTTTCTTTTTAATTCTATTGTTAAGTCCTCTGAGGCTAGACACTTGGTCTTATATGTATTCCCGCCACCCACAGAACTCTGATTATTGTGGAGAACTCTGTAAGTGCATGTCAATTGGAGAAGACATCAGAGGCTGAGCCATCTCTTGCTGTGAATCTCAGTTTGGACAACTGGTTCAGGAACACTCTGTCAGGCTCTTCTAAAAGCTGGACTTTTGAAGGTTTTGGAATAAATCAAGGAGAAGGGAAACTGAGGTGCAGAGAGATAGACTACTATGCCAACAGCCAATAGTAAGCTCAGCTGGGATTAACACTCAGTTTGCCCTCCGAAGTCCTTTATTTTAACCTCTGCCTCCCATGACAGAAGAGAACCAGCAGATGGTGTTAAACTCGGTTTGGAGAGTCAAAAAGAGGCAGGAGATACTGAATATCTAATGGGACTGTTGCCTTCACATCACTTAAATAACTCACTCAGACAGCTTATCTTGTTAATATTGAAGGACTTAATGAATACAGGAATGATGTCTACTTAATGCTTCCATTTACATCATTCTTTTAACTCTGCCATTAGACATTACGATCTTCACTGCACAGGACAGGAATAAGGCAAAGAAAAGTTATACAACTTACCTGAGGGCCCAGAGCTAGAGCCAAGATACAAACCCATGTCTGCCTTATTCCAATGTTTTTCCCTTTCCTCTACACCCTCTGCCTTCTAAATTTCCAGAAGTTGGCTAGTGAGTGAAATCATTCCTTCAAGATTGCAAAAAAATTTTAGAGACTATTTTATATCACCACTACAGTATATAATGAAGGAATATCAGGAGAGCTCCAAACATGGGAGACATAAAATGAAAGCTCACTTGGAATTGTAGATATTCAACAGATTCCATCAGTAGTAGATACTAATAAGTTTACTGTTTTCCTTTGTTTACTTTTAGAAAATAATTCTTTCAAGAAGATTACGGATGACTGATTTGGATTCTGCTCTGTGCTTCTAAACCTCCAATTCTGCTGAGAGTGAGATACCCAAGGACCCTAGAACCCCAGAAACACCCAGCAAAACCCTCCTCCACCATGGGGGCCATGACTCTGCTGTTGGCGGGCATCCTCCTGGCTTTGGTTGCACTTCCTACCGAAGGAGGGGTCCTCAAGAAAGTCATCCGGCACAAGCGACAGAGTGGGGTCAACCTCACCCTCCCAGAGGAGAATCAGCCCGTGGTGTTTAACCACGTCTACAACATCAAGCTGCCTGTGGGATCCCAGTGTTCAGTGGATCTGGAATCAGCTAATGGGGAGAAAGACCTGGCTGCACCGTCGGAGCCCAGTGAAAGCTTCCAGGAACACACAGTGGATGGGGAAAACCAGATCATCTTTACACACCGCATCAACATCCCCCGCCGGGCCTGTGGCTGTGCTGCTGCTCCTGATGTCAAGGAACTCCTGAGCAGGCTGGAGGAGCTGGAGAGCCTTGTGTCTTCCCTGCGGGAGCAATGTACCCTGGGAGCAGGCTGCTGTCTCCAGTCTGCTGAAGGTACAAGCTGGTGGCCAGCCGGCACCCCCACACCCCGACCCCACTGTACAAATGGGAGAAAGGATGCACACAGCAGGATCCATCAGTTGTTTCCAGAGTGGGTTCCCTCCGAAACTAGCCTCACAGGGTGTGCATTACAAAGAGATTTTATGGTCAAACAAATGTGGAGAATGTAGCCATCTCTCCTCTGCTCTTGGGGAGTCATGATGACAAATGTTTCTCAAATTTTCAGGCCTTTGAGATGTCCTGCTTTGAAAACTCTATTTCACTTCAGTTGCTAGTTTCTAAAACTTACTTTTAGACCAAGAAATCTACCCATTCTCCACCCCACAACCTATGAATATATCATGAAACTCCTGTCCCAAAGAGCACTTTCTGAAAAGTAGCAATATAGCCCCATCACCTCATTGTACAGATAGGGAAACTGAGTCCCAGAAGGAAGATGAGATTCCTCAAGGTCCCACAATGAGTGGCTAAGTTAGGTTGAAAACCACAGTATTCAACATCCCAGTATTCTTACAAATGTACAGTATTTCCTGTGGTAGTGCAGGGTCTGTGGGAGTTGGAAAATGTGTTCTAATTTAATGGCAATGATGATTATGATCACCATCATTAAGCCTTCACAAGAATTAAGTCAACATCCCAGTATTCTTACAAATGTACAGTATTTCCTGTGGTAGTGCAGGGTCTGTGGGAATTGGAAAATGTGTTCTAATTTAATGGCAATGATGATTATGATCACCATCATTAAGCCTTCACAAGAATTAAATCTTCTCTATGTGCTAGACACTGTAACTATTATCTCATTTAATCCTCCCAAGAACCCTTTAAGATGAGCTTTAACATTTCCTTCTGCAGATCGAAGAACTGAGACTCAAAAAAGTTAACCAAATGGTACAAGATTATGCAAAAACAAATAAGAGAGATGGAGGTTTGAACGTGACTGTGCGTCTCCAGAGCTCATACCCTCTCACTAATACCGTGTCCGTGTGTATCCCATTTTGAGGAGTTTTGCTGCTTTGGAATTACGTCTTCATCTCTATTCCCTAAAGTTCATACAGCTACAGGAGTTTTGACAACTTCAGATCAGAATGAAAAAATCTCTATTTAGGCCGCTTGGAAAAAATTACCAGAAAATATTTCAGTAATTATTTCAAGAGTAGACCTAACCACCGTAAGTGGAGAGTAGTATAGCACATGCTGTCTGTTTCTAAGGCAAAACAACAAAGCTTCTTTGTGCAGAAATTAGTTCATCTTTCACTTCTGTCAATTCCCTGGCAAAATGCAAGTGAGAGGGCACAGCAGGATTAGTGCTAAAGAGTAGGTTGGAATAATTGTTTAGAGCAGTGCTATCCAATAAAAATATAATGTGAGCCACATATGTAACCTTTAATTTTCCAGTAGTCACATTTCAAAAAAGGAAAGAGAAACAGGTAAAAATAATTTTAATTGTCTATTTTATTTAACTCAATATAAATAAAATATCTGTTTTTCAGCCTAGAATCAATACAAAAATTATTAGTGGGTATTTTACATTCTATTCTTTTATTCTAAGTCTTTGGAATCCTGTGTGTATTTTACTCTTACAGCACCTCTCAAACTAACCACAAGTCGATGCTTCATAGCCACACGTGGCCAGTGGCCACCTTACTGTGTAGCACAGGTTTAGATTCTCACTTTTCAAACCAACTTTTAAAGATATTTCCTTCCTTCCTGCTATCAGAAAGGAGATATAACATATTAATACACTGTATTTAGTTGCAGAGAATATGAAAGAAAGGGTTGTTTTTTTCCCCTTGGGTTCCAGGAAGTTCAGACCAATGACTCCCGCAAGTTGAGCCAAGACAATGTTTGGGATTCAAAGTGCTTGGAGTCGTGACAGCCCTGACCCTGCGTTCCTCAGTCCACCCACCACGCAGCCTTCAGGAGAGTGAGGGGAAAAAGATAGAGACACATGAGTTTTCTGGGGACAGAGCCAAATTGAAAGGTATCCTGACAGAACTAGACAGCCACTCCTTAGCTGCCTCATTTCAGTTACGGAAAATTAGAAAGTTTTGATCCTATAAACCCACATACCAACTTGAGTCAACCCCCCCAGAAAAACCTTTGGAAAGTAAAACAGGAAAATTACAGTGAGCACAAAAGCAAGCTGTTAACGTCCTCATTTAATCCTGATGTTCCCACAGAAGTGGGCTATTGGTTCTATCTGACCTATGAGGAAACTAGCTCCAGAGTCTAAATTCCTTCCCAAACATGGCACAGCTATTGAGTAAAAGTCACAATTAAGTTCAGTTCAACAGCTTTCTTGGGCATCTCCTACATAAATGATCTTGACTAAGCATAGCCCAGAATAATGCATTCCAGAAGGCAGAGACTAGTCATCATTGGAGTCATGGGATTCCTCGAAAATGTAGTGAAAACTGTGGATCCTCTCACCAAGAGTGGAAATACACACACACACACACACACACACACACACAGCCCTACACACACAAGCACATATTATCTGCATACAAGTAAGTCTGTCTACAAGTTCTGGCAGTACAGGTTAAGAATTCCTACCTGATAGAACAGGATGTTAAGTTCTGTCTGATTTCACACTCTATGCAACCATCCTCCATCCAAATTGGAATCTGTGTGTGTTGGGTAGATCCTGAAAAATCCAGCTGCTTGAGCCCAGCTGAGAGCCTCTGTTCTCTTCATTGCAGGCCGCCTGGACACCAGGCCCTTCTGCAGCGGCCGAGGCAACTTCAGCACCGAAGGATGCGGCTGTGTTTGTGAACCTGGCTGGAAAGGCCCCAACTGCTCTGAGCCTGAATGTCCAAGCGACTGTCACCTTCGAGGCCAGTGCCTTGATGGGCAATGTGTCTGCAATGAGGGCTTCACCGGCGAGGACTGCAGCCAGCTGGCCTGTCCCGGCGACTGCAATGACCAAGGCAAGTGCGTGAACGGGGTCTGTGTGTGTTTCGAAGGCTACTCCGGGGCTGACTGCAGCCAAGAGATCTGCCCCGTGCCCTGCAGCAAGGAGCACGGCACATGTGTGGATGGCCAGTGTGTGTGCCAGGATGGCTTCGCCGGCGACGACTGCAATGAGCCCCTGTGCCTCAACAACTGCCACAACCGCGGGCGGTGCGTGGAGAATGAGTGTGTGTGCAATGAGGGCTTCACAGGCGAGGACTGCAGTGAGCTCATCTGCCCCAATGACTGTTTTGACCGGGGCCGCTGTGTCAATGGCACCTGCCACTGCGAGGAAGGCTTCACGGGTGAGGACTGTGGCAAACTCGTCTGCCCCAATGCCTGCCACGGCCAGGGCCGGTGTGAGGAGGGACAGTGCGTGTGCAACGAGGGCTTCGCTGGCATGGATTGCAGTGAGAAGAGGTGTCCTGCCGACTGTCACAACCATGGCCGCTGCGTCAATGGGCAGTGTGAGTGTGACAATGGTTTCACAGGAGCTGACTGCGGGCAGCTCAAATGTCCCAATGACTGTAGCGGCCAGGGCCACTGTGTCAATGGGCAGTGTGTGTGTGACGAGGGCTACACTGGAGAGGACTGCAGCCAGCTTCGGTGCCCCAGTGACTGTCACAGCCGGGGCCGCTGTGTCCAAGGAAAATGTGTGTGCGAGCAAGGCTTCAAAGGCTATGACTGCAGTGAAATGAGCTGCCCCAATGACTGTAACCAGCACGGCCGTTGCGTGAATGGCATGTGCATCTGTGACGACAACTACACTGGGGAAGACTGCCGGGATCTCCGATGTCCCAAGGACTGCAGCCACCGGGGCCGCTGCGTGGACGGGAAGTGCGTGTGCGAGGACAGCTTCACTGGCCCCGACTGTGCAGAACTCTCCTGTCCCAGTGACTGCCACGGCCAGGGGCGCTGTGTGAATGGGCAATGTGTGTGCCATGAGGGCTTCATGGGCAAAGACTGCAAAGAGCGAAGGTGTCCCGATGACTGCCATGGCCAGGGCCGCTGCGAGGATGGCCAGTGCATCTGCCACGAGGGCTTCACAGGCCCAGACTGCGGGCAGCGCTCCTGCCCCAATGACTGCAGTCACTGGGGACAGTGCGTCTCGGGCCACTGCATCTGTAACGAGGGCCATGCTGGGGAAGACTGCTCAGAGGGTGAGTACCATGCGTGAACTAGCATGACAATGGCCGTGACTGAGTGTACTTCTAGTATATATTGAGAACTATGTTTATATTTATGAACACACAGATATACATGTATTCTTTGTATATATTAATATATTTACATTAAACATGCACACACTTTGACTCTTTGAGAGGGCCTTGATCATTCACTTGTTATAGGGCCACATTTAAGGGCCCAAAGGCTCAGAGAGGTTATGTGATTGTCCTGAGGACACATAGCTAATACATCACAAAGCTAATATTTGACTCTGCCTTATTTGTCCACACTGGTTTTAACATCTAGTGCCTGGATGAGGTAGATGAAATGATAATCTCCCTTCTGCTAAATGTCAACCTCCTTTTTTACTCTCCACTGACATTGAACCAATAGTAAACTAAATCCCTTTATTTAGATGGAAATAAAATTTCTGCTGAGTGTATGGACATCGAGATAACCTAAAAACAGTTTTAAATGCACACTCAACTAAAGATTAAATGCTGATCATCTATGGGGTAGACCTCTCTCTTAAATCATCTTTTCATTGCCATTTTTTATCCTGAGGACTGAGGCTGGGACTGGGAACTGCTGTGCTATTCCCAGCAGTTCGCCCAGAGCACGGCATATAGTAAATGCTCAGCAAACACTGTTTGAATAAAAGTGCAACAAAGAATGATAATGCTCATGTTTAACAAGAGTTTTCTTTGTGCTTTTTTAACCCATCCATATTATAATTGTTATAACAGAGAATTTCTGTCTTGATTAAAGCTATTGGCAGCTAGCTCTTTGTTTAACGTGGCTAAGGCAGGGAAGCCTGATTGGAAAGATTTCCATGCTGGTGGGAAGATGAGTTTCAAACTGGATTAAGTAAGCAAAGTTGGGACAAGTCGCATGGCCTCACTCACATCTAGAAAATGAAAGAGTTGGACGAGATAGCCCAACGTACCCTTCCAGTACCGAAGATGTCTATATAACTCAAAGTCCAGAGCAGGGAGTCAAACTCAGATGGCACTTTCCCAGGCCAACAACCTGAATCTGAACAAAGCCAGGGAGTGCAGAAGTAGGAAGGGTCTGATCATGAAGAACACTGAAGGCCATGCTACTGATGTAGAGCTCCAGCCTGAAAGTGACGGACTAATGGACAGACACTGAAGGTTTTAAAGATGGATCACAGCAGAGGGTCCTTGATGAATTTTGCATTTTAGAGACAAAGATATCAAGAAGAGAACTTCAGACCTCCGGGCCGGCCCGGTGGCGCACTGCTACAGTGCGCCGCTTAGGAGTGCAGCAGTGCTCCCGCCGAGGGTTTGGATCCCACATACAGACCGGCCACTCACTGGCTGAGCGAGGTGCGGGAACAACACTGAGGGTTGCGATCCCGTTGCCGGTCCCGGTCCGGTA